CATACATACCTACATCATACATAATACATACATACCTACATACATACATACATACATACATACATACATACATACATACAATACATACATACATACATACATACATACATACATACATACATACATACATACATACATACATACACACATACATACATACATACATACATACATACATACATACATACATACATACATACATACATACATACATACATACATACATACATACATACATACATACATACATACATACATACATACATACATACATACATACATACATACATACAACACAACATACATACATACATACATACATACATACATACATACATACATACATACATACATACATACATACATACATATACATACATACATACATACAGCAGACATACATACATACATACATACATACATACATACATACATACATACATACATACATACATACATACATACATACATACATACATACATACATACATACATACATACATACATACATACATACATACATACTACATACATACATACATACATACATACATACATACATACATACATACATACATACATACATACATACATACATACATACATACATACATACATACATACATACATACATACATACATTACATACATACATACATACATACATACATACATACATACATACATACATACATACATACATACATACATACATACATACATACATACATACATACATACATACATACATACATACATACATACATACATACATACATACATACATACATACATACATACATACATACATACATACATACATACATACATACATACATACATACATACATACATACATACATACATACATACATACATACATACATACATTACGTACATACATACATACATACATACATACATACATACATACATACATACATACATACATACATACATACATACATACATACATACATACATACATACATACATACATACATACATACATACATACATACATACATACATACTACATACATACATACATACATACATACATACATACATACTACATACATACATACATACATACATACATACATACATACATACATACATACTACATAACGTACGTACATACGTACATACATACGTACGTACGTACATACATACATACATACCATACATACATACATACATAAATACATACGTACGTACGTACGTAGTACGTACGTACGTACGTACGTACGTACGTACGTACGTACGTACATACATACATACATACATACATACATACATACATACATACATACATACATACAGTAATTAACACGCATTTAAACTATTTGGAAATCAATTCTCATGTGAAGTGATGCATAGTGGTTATATTTTGATAGCCTATCCGGCATTCAAAATGACTCCCGGGAGGCTAAAGCTTAATGTTACCTGCCTAATTTTTATTATAACTGTTGTCGACTGTGCCCTAAACTCCAGCTCTGAGGCCAGTATGCAGCACATCATTAATAGTTTTTATGAAGCCTGTGCAAACTTCGGGCTAATTATCACTAACAAAACTGTTGTTATCTATCAACCGGTTCCCAGAAAGAAAGAAAATTACTGTGACTTCCCTATCACCGTAAATGATCAAAAATGTAGTGGACAGATTCACTTATCTTGGCAGTGAGAGTCAACATCAACGATGAGATCAATGGTAGGATTTCAAAGGCTAGTAGCAGTTTATACTAGTTTTGGAACAGAAGTGGTATCTCCCTGCTGACCAAGCTAAAGGTTTACAGAGCCATAATTCTTCCACTACTGCTCTACGATTGGGAAACGTGGACTGTGTATCAGCCCCATGCTAAAACATTGAATTAGTTTCCTATAATTTGTCTCAGAAAGCTGCTCAAAATCAAATGGTAAGATAGGATCTCAAATACTGCGGCTCATGATAAGGACAAACCTGCCTAGCATCCATACGTTACTAAAGAATTATCAGCTGTGTTGGACTGGTCACCTAACCCGCATGCCACAATATAGCCAGTCGGTTAGAGAAAGGCATGTCGTTGATCACTATGTGAATATCTTTTTTATTTCAGAATCTTCCGTGGCCATGTTCTTGGTAACCGCGGGCGCTGTGCTACTTGTCGTAGCAATAATATATATCGTTCTAGACACGATCATACATTTCCTGAAAGTAGGTCACATAACTGACAAATATGTGTTTATTACTGGGTGTGATTCCGGATTTGGACACCTCGCAGCCAAGTGAGTACAGTTTATTCGTTCGCACCTGTTCTATCTGTATCCGCTCTACACAAAACAAAAAGAAAATATATAAAACACTCACTCACACACACATACATATGCGTGCACCCCTACTTGATGGGATGAGAAGGTAAACATTTGGGGGCCTCTGGAAGAGAGTGGAGCTTGAACCACTTAGATTTGACACACGTATGAGCGCACCCCTTCCATACACACATATATGCACGCGCGCGCGCACACACACACATACAGTATAACCTCGGTTTTACAACATAAATAAGTTGAAGACTCCCAAAATAGGGTTTGTTAAAAATCAGATGTGCTCAGCCGAAAGTCGCAGATATCGCCCCTCGCAGTAAACTACAACTCGGTATCTTCTTCTTTGCGTTCGGTTTCGTTTGCTCAGATCAGACCATCGGATGGGTTGCCTCTATGAACTCGCATGTCAGCAGCAGGTATGCTCTGCATTCTTTGCTTTAGAGGCCTGGCTTCTTTTCGAAGTTGTTTGTTGAGTGGGCAGGCCTGCATAATGTGTTCAGGTGTTTGTGGTGGTGGTCCTGTCTGACAGGGACACATCAGCGACTGCATAGACTTTATTTTATGCATGTGATAGTTGAGCCTGCAGTGTCCTGTTCCTAGACGGAAAGTTATTGTATATTGCTTTCTGTTGAGTCTACTGTTGGGGTCTTGTGGATGTTTACTGTTAGTTCGTTCTTTCCACAATTCGTAGTATTTTCTTTTGATAAGTGTTTTGATTTCTGGTCATGACAATGAATGGGTGTATTGTTTCTCCTCTGTTCCATGTTTTTCTAGTCTGTCTGCTAACTCATTTCCTGGTATGCCGCAGAAGGCCGGGATCCACCGGAGAACGATTTGATTGTTTTCTGAGTGTCTGGTTAACTGGCTGGTCATTTCTCTCTTTATATTGTTTCGTTGATCCACCTGAGGCACATAGAGGACTGACATGCAGTCACGAGGGGAAACAATTTGCTGTTTTTAATTTTTCTTTCCTGAAGCACTTCGGTTGCATCAATAATTGCTTGCTGCTCTGAAGTTAGTTGAGAGTCTTCGGGAGGCGCATGACTTTTATACTGTAGCTCCTTCCAATGATCCATCGGTGTATGCTTGTGTCCACTGGGGTTTCGGTTCAGAGTTGTAGACATGTTCAAGGGTCTTAGCATGCAGTACTACGTCATATTCTTCAGCCTTTCTGTCTATGCCTGGGACTGTTGTTGTAACTGTATAGTTAGGCGGTAGGTCTATGCTGTATGCCTGGATCATTTCCCATGTTAAAGGATATTTAGAAAGAATGTCACTCTATTTTGCGTAGCACAAATTTGATATATGGTGAAAGTTTTGTCTTTTTAGTCGGTTTTTTATTTAAGTTGTTTTCTTTTCTGTGTATGGGGTTGTTATTCATGCGTTTAAATTTTTCTGTTAGGGTAAGCACTTTTTTTTTCTCCTCGAAGGCTCAAGCTCTGGAGGGCAGAAGTTTCCTCCAGCTCATTGATTGGTGTGCTTCTCATACCTCCAGTGATGATTCTGAGATCAGTGTGCTGTATTTTGTCAAGTATAGGTTCGATTTGGCTGCAGTGAAGTATGCTCTCATGGCATACTCCAGTTTTGGTCGTATCCTGTGTATACTTGTTGTACAGTGTTGGCATCTGCACCCCAGCTTGTTCCAGTAAGTTTCGTCATAAGTCTAAGCCATAGGGTAATTTACCTTTGGGTGTCTTCGATGTGGGAACCCCAGCTTAGCCTTTAGTCGAATTTTTAACCCTACAACCCTAGACATTCGGACTGGCAGACTAGCGTCTACCCGCTCCCATGTATATTGCAAATAACGTAAATGTTCACTTACCGCCATTGTCGTTCTAAGTCCGGATGAGAAAGGATGAGTGTTGGACGTGGAGCAAGTTTCCCCCACCCTGTAAAAACAATTTGCTTCAGAAACCACCAGGAAAGGAAGCCATTCCAGTAAACAAATGAATCAAGTTGTATGTGGTGCACAAAGTAGATGTGTGACGCTTACGAACGAAAGCTTTTCTTCAGAAGTCATTGACTAGGCAATAGATTACCTGACGACTTACATTTGTTTTTGGAATGTTAGGACAATGGTCCAGGAAACAAACAAAATGCGCGTAGGTAGCAGAAGAAATGTTTACCGAAGTAGTAAAGCATTATTTAAAATATGTAGGTGCTCATTCTTCTTTATTTAAAATGTACTTTCTCCTTCTCCTGCACCAGACAACTTGACAAGCTCGGCTTCCACGTCTTTGCTGGCTGTTTAACTAAAGAGGGAGCCAAGTCTGTGACGGAGAGCTGTTCCAGTCGAGTGACCACAGTTGAGCTGGATATTAGAAGTACAGAGAGCATACAACAAGCGGTCAAGCTGGTGGAGAGCAAGCTGCCTCCAAACACAGGTCTGTGTTTTGTCCTGTGTTTTAACTGTCTGTATTCTGCTTTCACCATTACCATTACTCTTTTCCATTGCCAACCATTATTATCAACCAACAGGTCTTTTACGGAATCCTGTTTTTGTCACGGCACGCCTGAAAGTCTCTCTTTCTCGTGCCAATTCTCTAATCTGTGTGATTTCCTAGTCAGTGCCTCTTCAATATCCTGTATTCACCTTCGCCGAGGTCTGCCTCTGCCTCGTTTTCCTCGTTACTCCAACTGTCACTTCGTGATTATATTTGAGCAATGAGCAATTGATAGACTGAACATGTACCTCTCTATCTCTTGTTGTACCCCACCAGGATATCACACAAGCGATAAACACCTGGTGACACAAAGTGCCACCATACAGATGAGGATAATCCGTGGAGAGGTCCCAGAAACCCCTCTCAGCCGTTAGGCCATATATATGGCCCAGTTATATTCAGGGTCCTAGGCAAACGCCAGGGTGGGGCTTCAAAATAACTAAAAAGTGCATCATGCAAGGAGATGACGAGATTTATTGTGAACATAAGTGTCAAGTCACCAAAAAACATCTTCAGTTTTAATCCAGTAAAAGTGGATTCAACGGTTATTTTAATTTGATCCTACATCAACATAGAATTAAGCACTAAGCATAAATATTTTCAACGGAAACACACAGATTTTAGTGTTTGTAGTTCTACTGTACAAATGACGAACACAAGTTGGGTTCAAGTAATGTTTTTTGCCGCAGAAAGAGAGTGACTTCTCTTCCCATTCATGCCTCGTCGTGAAGCAGGCACTCTCCTTTGTTGATGCGGTCTTATGATATGGCTTGCTTCGGTGTTCGCTCAGCGAATATAATGTTTGTGAGAGGTTGTGTTGTCGTGTGTCTCTTTAAGGCGCTGCAGGCGCCTGCCTACAACTGGATGCTTTTGTATTTCTACGTTCGTTGACAGTGGCTCTTCCTTCCTCCAAAAGAGAGAAGGCAATGACAAGGAACGTAGGAATAGAAAAATATAGCAGTTTCCATACTCCCGAACCGTCTCGTAGTCAATAAAACGTGGAAATAATCAAGCAAGTGAGCGGTGATAACACGAGAAAAGAGAGCGGTTCAAGCGTTGACAATAAGGAATACATGACACCCCCGCAACATAGGAGAGGCCCTGCGACGCGACGAGGCATGAATGGGAAGGGAAGTCACACCAATTTTGGGGGGAAAAACGTTCATTGCACCTAAGGTTGTAATTAAAACCTGAATATATACAAATCAATATCAGTATCAGAGCACAACCAACCCACACTGGACTGCAGTATCAGTACACAACCAACCCACACTGGACTACAGTATCAGAACACAGAACACAACCAACCCACACTGGACTACAGTATGAGTACCCAACCTACCCACAATGGACTACAGTATCAGTATACAACCAACCCACACTGGACTACAGTATCAAAACACAACCAACCCACACTGGACTACAGTATCAGTACACAACCAACCCACAATGGACTACAGTATCAGAACACAGAATACAACCAACCCTTACAGGACTACATGATCCTTTGTAACCGTTCTGCGCGGTGTCCACTATAACTGTGCTATATGGCTATACGGTTGAACGGTGTTTCGGGTATTTGTAGCTGTGTCATTCTCATCCTTGAGATGTTAATCCTACAGAATGCAGATCTTGAGGGTGGTTCGAGTAGAAGACATTAGACTTGCCCTTGCCCAAATTATGTCAGGCTATAGATTGTGCAATGTATTATCTCATGTCCTAATAGTTCAAATTCACAAATAGAAAACAGCCCTATGAATTCCCTAACTTGTTGTTTATATCGTCTAAAGGAGTATGGGCCTTAATAAACAATGCAGGGATTGTAGGCCTAGCTGCCCCGGCTGAGATGTGCAGCAGAGAGGACGTTCAGGTGGCCCTCGGTGTCAATCTTCTAGGACCCATAGACGTGACACGGCACTTTCTACCTCTCATCAGGAAATCTCATGGTCGGATAGTGAACACTACAAGTGTGAGTGGTCGTGTGGCCATTATGTCTATCCCTTACAGCGTGTCAAAGTTTGGACTGGAGGGCTTCTCAAATAGACTAAGGCAAGTCTGTTTTTGTAAACTTGTTCTTCGTACCATTCTTTCCTACGACGTCTCCTATCAAGTAGATTTTATTGCTAAGCCTTGATAGCTGCTTGCCTGGATGCTTCCTTTCGGGCCCTCTCTCTCCCCTTGAACATGTCTCTTGTCTGCGTCACGTCAAGCTGTCGTTTTTCGTTGGCCTTTTTGAATTTTGTCACCTTAGTCGAGAGTAGCTATTGGCTTTCTATAATTTCTCGGTAGTTGCTCACCTCTTCTTCTGTTGACTTTTTCTTTTTGAGACTGGATGCAGGACAGAACGGCCTTGATAGCTAACTTGAATTGAGTCACGTCGTCGACTTCGGCCTCCAGTTGATTCTACGTTTCTAGTGTCGCTTGCATTAGACTTCTCAGGCCTGTTATCTTGTCTATCTCTTGGGCTCTCTTGGTTTCGACTTTTGAGGGACTGAATCTCTGTTTTTAGCAGCGCAACCTCGTTTTGAAGCTTAGAAATGTCTGCTGTAGTGACCTCTCTTGTTTAAGCTTGAAGCCAGGTTGTTCTTGTGACGAAAGTACTCATTGCTCTCTTGATCTCCTTGAGACGCGGGCAGCCTAGGTACCTAGCGTTGTGTGAACCTAAGCAGTCGGAGCATTTTCTGCTTGCGTTAGGCATCTTAAAGTCTGGATCCACTTTTGCCAGGAGGCACTCCTCAAAGTCGTGTGATCTCGAGCAGCAACGGCACGATGGGCTTCTGTGGCATGTTGCAGCGGTGTGCCACGACGCCCTATTACAGCGTGAACACTGCATTTCTGGGGTGTAGGTCCCAGGTTGCTGCTGTATCTTGTGGAAGCGGGTGCTGGGAACCCTCGGTGCCTCGACTGGAGCTGCTTCTGTGGTTGGCAGCATCTACTCAGATGATAGCGCCTTGACACGGGCTGCATTTGGGGTTGGCATGTCTTACTCGGTGTGGCTGGCGTCTCGATAGAGACGGCTTCATTAGGTGCTTGCGCCACGGCTGGGGCGGCTTCAAGTGACGGCATCGTCTGCTCAGCTAGGGTTGACGCCACGACAGGTGCGGCTTCCTTGGTTACTGATGTCGTCGGGGTGGTAAGGCTAGGTGCCATAGTACAAAAAATAGTTTGCTGAAAAAAAAAATCAGGTTTTAACTGATGCACCACAGCCTCAAGGGCCCGAAATCCTTAGAAGGACAGCCGAGTTCTTGAGTTGTGGTAATCTGTTACTTTTGATGAGGCAGATAAAGCGGACTGCCGATAGCCAAACGAGCGCTGACCAAGATAACCAGTCGTCTTAACAGAGTCCACCGACAATGCAAGCGATTCAAAATCTAGTAAAAAGCTATCGTGAATCGGGCGAACGAATGGAGCATTAAACGAGCGAGCGCGACAAGCTGCTATGGATCGGGCGTGGCAGCTGTCGTAATAGCGTGTGCGCAGCAAAGAGCAGAGCTTTTAATGTCCAAATCTCCCTTCTGTCTTCTTCCTTTTATGCGACAAATGGAGCCGAGGCTCTCAGTCAGCTTATAGCAAGTCTCTCTTTTCTTTGCCATCACATCCTCTTCATGATCCTTTTAGATTTGTTAACAGAATGTTCGCTTTTACGGTTGCTTTAACAAGAAGAACCAATCCCAAGCTTAACCAAACTTTTATATTGTGAACTTTCTCAAGAATTCAGTTGTAGCCTCCCCATAAAACTGAAGTGTGTCTTTAATTCTACTCTCGGTGTTTTTTATATCTATTTTATTTTTTAAACTGTGCCAGGTAGTTTCCCGGGAGGTTCTTTTTAGAATATTACGAGATTTCAATTTATAAAAGCCTAATTAAAGGAGATAAAAATGGCTTACTCAAAACAATATTTTCCCGTAATGAATTTCAATAATGCGGACAAAAACAATACCTTGAACAATTTATTGCCAGGCGTATTTCGCCGTATCTCGTCAGGTGCGTTACTACAGAGTTACATCAACATAAAATGAAGCACAAAAACTGAATAAATCCAACTGATATGCGAATAGTTTCTTTCGACTCATCATGGTGAGTTTAGACGCCGGAAGTTCACCGTAGTGGGGTCAGATGGCTTAATAAAATTATTTAAATTCAGAAGACCAATGGAAATCCACACTCTACACTAAAGCACTATTCGAGCATTGTTTTCAGGTGACTGAAGGGACCAACCTCACTCTCAAAGAGTTCTGGAGAAATCACTTCCACATCGTTGCCTGCCTCAGGATGATCGACAAGGCTGGATAAGGGGTTACCAAGAAAACCCTAACTTCTGCTTGGAAGAAGCTTTGGCCGGAGAGCGTTGTCGTATAGTGACTTTGAGGGGTTCGAGACAGTACCTGTGGAACCTGTAGTCAACGAGATTTTGTCTTTGGCCACTATCATGGGATTGCAGGTGGATATCAGTGGTATCGAAAAGCTTGTGGAAGAGCACAGCCAAGAGATGACCACCGAAGAGCTTATGGAGTTTCAATGTGTTTCACAGCAAGAAGTTTTGGAGGAAAGTTTGTCAGAGGAGGAGGCTATAGCAACAATCTTCTGGCGAAATAAGATAAATACTGAAAGCATGGGAAACTGTTGCATCTTACATTGAGAAGCATTACCCTAATAAGGAAGTGGCTATTTATTTAATGATAATGCTGTGTCGTATGTTCACGAAATTTGAAGCGTCGGCAAAACAAATGTCTTTCGGCATCTTTCTAGTAAAAAAAAAAAGTTAGCTATGTATTATAATTATTTCGACTTTTTTTTCTGCAAATCGAATTCGCATTCCATGTGGGTTCGTTCCGCAGTGGAAGAAAAGATAAAGATGATTCACTCTTCTTAACAATATGTATATAATTTTCTTTGAATAAACGTTATACATAGCATTTTGTAAGTATTTTTTTCGACATGGAACGCATTATCGTATTTTACATTAATTTGTATGAGAATAATCGTTTCGTATAACGAGTGTTTCACTCAACGAGTATGATTCTGGAACGAATTATGCTCGTTAAGCGAGGTTCCACTGTAATGCGGACACAAACAATACATTAAAAAAATAAGTCCGAAGGGTGTGAATTCAACGCCAAAACTTTCGGGTCGCCAAGTCACCACGCTGTCCTGGCTCTCCTATGACAATAGGGTCTTGATTAACTGAATTACCACTTTACTCTAATTCACCCCTTGTTTGTAATTTAGACGCGAAGTCTGGCCCCAGGGTATTAAAGTGTCTATCGTGGAGCCCGGAGCCTTCAGGACACCGATCATGAACGTAGAGCAAATTTTACGAGATTTCCAAGAAGCATTCGACAAGCATAGTCCAGACATACAAGCTGTCTATGGAGGCTTTGAGCTCAAGATAACATGTAAGTGTCGATGTTCTTCGTCTTGAACCTTCAACATCAGTCATGCTAAACACCTAGGTCATAAAATGAAATCATGTGTATGAGTTCACTGCCAGTGGATCCCTTTTCTCCACCCCCATCCCACAGCTTGTCTTGCATGAAAGGCAACTCCTTTGGGTCAGATCCCCAACCTCTGCCGGAAGTATTTAAGGCACACCTGCAGCACATGTTCTGGAGGGTTGTCTGCTCTGCAGTCACACATGGTAGCGTCTTCTGGAAGCTGCGTGGTCTCGAGGCATGGTGTCCGCCTCTAGTGCTAGAGGTTCCAGGTTCAATCCCTGGTAAGGGCTGGTATTTTTTCACGTGGACTTGGACTTCTAGTAATTCCCCCTGGTCTCTGGGTAGTGAGATCAGACGCCAGTGTGCACAGTTGGGCACATAAAAAAATCTCTTGGCAGTTGAAAATCGCCCAATTGCTCGGGCAAAATTTGGAGTTTAAAATCTACCCAAAGTATTTCAGGATCATTGCCGGTGCTACAGAGCCTGTGCACTGTGCTGAGCTTCTTCGGACTCAGACTTGAGTTAGAAGAACGGGGAGCGCCATTAGGCTACTCTTTTTCGATTTCCAACTGCCAAGGGATTTTTTTTACGTGCGCAACAATGAACACCGGCGTCTGATCTCACTACCCAGAGACCAGGGGACATAAAGGTCTAAGTCCACGTGAAAAAATTACAACTTTTACCGAAGATTTAACAATCGAGGATGACACCATGCCTCGAGACCACGCAGCCCCCTCTGTGATACGTAACTAACTTTTTTATTACCGCCGTAAAGCGTTCCAGCAGCTGGCCGATTTTTTTTCATTTTGAACCGATGGCTAAACTATTTTGAGTCTTTAATGTTCTATTGGAATCATTTACCGGTACTGTGCATATCACTATGTTAAGTTCTTTACTGGTGACTGTCTCTTCTTATCTTACCCGCAGCATTTCCTAAACAACACATCTCCAAAATTGTAACTTTGCGACTTGACTTATTTAAAATACATCCCCGTGAGGATTCCTGGACTCCATTGCCCCTCAAGGGGGAGGGGGGAATAGACCCACTGCCTCCACCACAAGCAAGCATGTCGTGAGAGCCCATTGATTAGAAGTTCCTTCAAAGTCAGAGTACATTTTTCTGAGAGGCAAGGAACCAAGAGTCTTCAGACATATAAGCAAGACATGTTAAACGGATGTGTATGCATCACGCGGGTTCTCAATAAGACTAAAGTTCAGAGATGGACAAACCACGACCGGCTCTAGCTGACCGGTCAGCTGAAGCCGGTGGTGGACAAACAACCATAACGTTTCACCAGAGTTCACAGCCGGTGAACGCGAAGAAGAAGAAGACAATAACATGCCCGAAATATAGCGAGTGACCGCGTCCAGTTTAGGGACAATACTGCTTCGTTTGTTTGTATGTTATTTCACGATAATATTTTACTACTAGTTAAGCTAGTTCAAATACACGAATTCACTTTGTTTTCCCCAGTACTTAAATGTTTCGAGTCACTGAAGACAATCGCTGCAACAGATCTGGCACCAGTTGTTGACGCTTACATACACGCTGTTACTGCCCAGTATCCTCATAGAAGATACAAGCCGGGTCGTGACGCCATGTGGTTCTACAGTCCACTGTGTCTTCTCTCTGACAGTGCCATAGATATGGTGCTGTGGCTTCTGCGGTTTCCATGATCTGTTTCTCTCTCTCCCTTTGTCTATCTATCTAATCTAATCTAATCTAATCTAATCTAATCTAATCTAATCTAATCTAATCTAATCTAATCTAATCTAATCTAATCTAATCTAATCTAATCTAATCTAATCTAATCTAATCTAATCTAATCTAATCTAATCTATCTATCTATCTATCTATCTATCTATCTATCTATCTATCTATCTATCTATCTATCTATCTATTCTATCTATCTATCTATCTATCTATCTATCTATCTATCTATCTATCTATCTATCTATCTATCTATCTATCTATCTATCTATCTATCTATCTATCTATCTATCTATCTATCTATCTATCTATCTATCTATCTATCTATCTATCTATCTATCTATCTATCTATCTATCTATCTATCTAATCTATCTGTCTGTCTGTCTGTCTGTCTGTCTGTCTGTCTGTCTGTCTGTCTGTCTGTCTGTCTGTCTGTCTGTCTGTCTGTCTGTCTGTCTGTCTGTCTGTCTGTCTGTTCGTTCTCAAGCTTCGCTCACATCTTGTCTCTTTATACACTGTCTTTCCTCTCTCCCTTCCTCTCTCACTCTCTTTAACCCCCTCCTTTTTTTTATCCATACGCTTTCCCTCCATCACCTTATTTTTATGCCATTATAATCCACATTTTTATTCTACTACCACCACCACCTCCACTATTAGAACTAGTACTTTTATAACTACTACTACTACTGGAACCAACACTATCACCACCACCATCACTACTACTACCACCACCACGACTATTATTACCACGTCTAAACTATACCACTACAACTGCTACCACTACTACAATTTCTGTTACAACTACTACTGTTATAACTACCACTACAGCCACCACCACCATCCCTACTAGTGTCACCACCACCGCCCTAAGTACCACTACTACTACAACCACTACTACAACAACAACCACTACCACTGCTGCCACTATTACTACCACTACAACCACCACTACCACCACTACCACTGCTGCTAATATTACTACTACTACAAGTACTTCTAATACTACTCAAACAACTACTACGCTTGGTTACTTTACTTTTACTTTTTCCTTCCACGTATGCCGCTAAGCGTTGTGGGGAGATGCAAGTTCCTGTCATAAGCAAGGCGGGCAGCATCTGATGTTCTGAGGCCATGCTTTTGGCAGGTTTCGGAGACCCCGTCAATCCACCGTTTCCTTGGTCTTCCTCTTGCCTTATATCCTGAGCTTCTTTGGTTGAAAATTTGTGATGTTATTTGATCATTTTTCATCCTGGTTAGATGTCCAAACCATTTCATTCTTTGATGTTCTATGTAGCCTAAACATGGTGTAGTTTTGACAGTGTTTCTAATGTCTATATTCTTTATCCTGTCTAGTCTGGTCTTATTCGCTGCTTTTCTTAGACATTTCATTTCACAGGCTTCTATTTTTCTTTCATGGGTCTTGTTGATTGTCCATGTCTGGCACTGGTAGCAGAGTGTTGGAATGAAGATGGTGTTTATCAATTGTCTTTTGGTCTTCATGGTTATATCTGGATGTTTAAGCAGAGGTGATAGTTGGTATGTGACAGCATTTGCTTTCTGTATTCTTGTTTCTATCTCTCTGTCCATTCTTCCCATCCTCTGTAAATATACTGCCCAAGTATTTTGAACTCTTTGGTTTGCTTGATTTTGGCACTTCCAACATTTATATTCAGTGGCCTGTGTGTTCTGCTGATCTTCATAACTTCTGTTTTTTCTGTACTGATTCTCATATTATGTTGTAAACAGCTGTTGTTGAGAGTAGTCAGATGTTCCTGTAGATCATATTCATTTTGATACAGTATGCTTTGATCATCAGCAAAAAGTAATTCGTTTATAGCATACACGTCTGGGTTTGCTTCTACAGTGATCTTATCCATGTATGTTATGAAAAGTAATGGTGACAGTACACATCCTTGTCTGACACCAGTTGTGACTTTGAACCATTCAGAAAGACCACTAGATGTTCTTACTGCACTTTCACTTTTTTCATAGAGGGCTCTGATGTTGTCTAATAATTGACCCTGCACTCCGTAATCGTCAAGAATTCTCCACAGCACATCTCTGTCTACACGGTCGAATGCCTTCTCTTGATCTACAAAGACCACGTTCAGCTCTTTATCGTATTCGATTGTCTTGGTTTCTGATGTTAAAATCTATTAAAGTTTGAAAACTTAATATGGTTTGTTTCGTTTAGAAACATGTTATAGTATTAGGCAAGACCGACATCTAATCAAATCGCTACTTGCACCATTGATATTGGAACTCTGCGCTGGCTGCTAGAGATGGGAACGGAACGCTTATGGGAGTATCCCGAGTGCTGTGATATCGATTCAATATTAAACATATGCAGCTCTCAGTTACCCAACCAAAGGTTTTGGATTCGAATCCACATCGAAAGATATTTTTTTTCTCTATCAAAACTGATCTTGGCTCCCAGTTCTACTAACCAAAAATTGGTCCCAGGTAATGTTCCAGGAAGTAAAGGCAATCTTTACATGCTGATACGAAATCGCCCACCGAGTGCCGATTGGCTAATAAAATATTTGAGTCTATCTTTACACACCCGATGGGCAATTTGCGGAAAAGGGGTTTCCTTGTTTTAATTTTTTTTTTTTTCATTTTTAAACTTCATGTCACCAGCTCATAGAAAACAAATCGACTGTGGCTTGCAAACTCTCTTCGTAATGCCGAGTTCAATCCCAGCCGAAGGCAATTTGGCAGCAAACCGTCTTGCGTTTGTTTCGACAGTGGTATCAAGAGCTGACCGTTTAGTTGTAGTGGCAAACTACTAAACATAAATTTACCTAGACCTGGAAAAAAAGGATGGGGTAGGTTCTGCAATGTTTTGCAGTAGGGTGGAGGGTGGGGAAGCATTAGAAGTTAGAGTGACAGCATGCATCACATTTAAGAACTGACAGAATATAATATGTTCACATGTGTGGGTGATGCTGTGGATAAACAACAGTGGAAGACTTCAAGGCAAATTTGATGTTTTCATCACAACCCTAGTCAGGGTTACAATGAGAAACAGTGATGATGATGATGATTTTGAGAGTTAGTAAACTTAAAAGCGGCTTGTCCAGCGTTTAAGTATGCTAGTTTCTCATTATCAGGACCCAGTTCGAATCCTTGGTAAAGTAACGATTTTTTTTTCTGTTGGGGCAAAACAATAAAATACTAACCTGTAGAGTCCGTGGCGACTGCACTAGCCACGCGAAATCAAATCCTCAGGTTCAAGACCACCTAATCCAACATGTCCCAAACACAGTCTTTAAAAAAAAGTTGGGTTCTATCCCAATAATTCACCCCCAAATGACGTCACCGGACAGTCCAATATTTTCGAGGGTTGTAAGAGCGGCTTTCCTCGCTTTTTGTGTGTCTTCCAAAGCGTTGCCAACCGTTGTCAAGACTTTGGCGGGTTTTCTTTTGTTGGCGCGTTTCTTCTTCCGGCGGCGTCTCTCTGCCACCTCCTGAAACATTAGACTGACCCGTTACATGTGGATTTCCCGTGTTTGGAGTGAATTATTGGAACAGTTTTAGTATCGACAATAAAGAAAGTGTTAAAAAACTTTATGAACTACGTTTGAGGATGGAGCTGGCAACAGACACTGTAGTTTCTTGCTATCTGGAGAACAACCTGCATATATATATATATATATAAAATATATTGTATCAATGTAACCGACTTTATTCTAGTTCCTCTTCCCAGAGAGGGTAGAGGGACTAGGGATCACATCTTTAATATGATAATAACTTTTGAAAAATGCAGAGAATACAACGTAGATCTTTATGCTTGTTTTATTGATTATAGCAAGGCATTTGATTGTGTTCAACACCACAAACTGTGGACTATTATGAAAAGTATGGGGTTTCCAGCGCAATAAGGGCATTTAATTGAAAATCTTTATCATGAACAACAAGCAGAAATCAGAGCAGCTGGTGAAACATCTGATTGGTTTGAGGTGCAAAAGGGGGTAAGGCAGGGGTGCATTTTCTCACCATACCTATTCAATATATACACAGAAAATATAATAAGAAATGTCAAAAATGACCAGACTTGTGACAGTTATGATCCACTCAAAATTGGGAGCAGCCCTATTCCGGAACTCCGCTAAGCAGATGACACAGTCCTCCTTTTGAACAGCCTAAAGGGAATAGAAAATGTAATATTGTCTGTCCAAAAGCACAATGAAAATCAAAATTTGTTCTTGAGTTTAAAGAAAACGAAAATAATGTCCACAGATAAAACTGGCTGTCACCCAAAAATAACAATAAATGATGAAGAAATAAAAAATGTCACAAACTTTGAATATCTAGGCTGTATAATAAACAGAAATAGAGACTGTTTGACATAAATTAAAAGGAGGATGGCCATAGCAATGCAAAGATTGAACAGTTTTAAAAGTCTATGCTTAAGCACCAGCAAGGAGATACAAATTAGAATTTTGAGAGCATGCATCTTTCCGGTGGCTACATACGGATGTGAGTCGTGGACTATCTCTCAGTCCTTAAAAAAGATAATAGGGGCTTTTGAGCTGAAATGCTATAGAAAAATTCTCAGAATATCTTGGACAAAGAAGATGAGAAATATTGACATCTTGAAAGATCTGAACATCAAGGAAGATTGGCTAATAAACAGCATCCTTTCTCGAAAGCTGAAATATTTTGGTCATATCAAGCGCCACGACGGATTGGAAACAATTATAGCAGAAGGCATGGTACCAGGAAGGAGGGGCAGGGGCCGACCGACACGAAGATGGGCACAGGATAAAAGTGACTCCTTGAGTATGGAAATACACGAGGCGGGAGAACTGGCGAGAGACCGAGTTTCTTTGAGGCAGACTGTGTTGAGAGCGACGTTCTGCAAAGGACCTGCTACATGATGATGTAACCGACTTACCAGGCATGCCGAGAAATGTGAAAATAGGAATGGTTCTTGTAGAGTTGAAAGAAGCGACAGTGTTT